CGGAGGAACCATGATTTCTCCTGGCTACGGGCAATAAGCGACTGAAAGAACATGGTGGTCAGAAAACAAAAATAGATAAAGAAAAAAGGGATCGAGAGGTAGGACCAAGTGAATACCTGGTTGGTGGGGATGATGATGTCTCGAAGGACGCTGTTGGCCTGGTTTAGAGCCTCCAGCGCGGCCGTGAACCCCTCGCGGAGGTTCTCCCGCTCTATGCCCTCGGCGACGTCATCGAGGGTGAAGTGTTCCGACGATGGGTCCCATAGACTCACCCACCAGAGCAGAGGCTCATCTCGTGCAGGCAGGTGATGGCCCTCCGATGTCAGGGCCAAGGACAACTCCCTACCGATCTCCTCGACAAACACCACGGCGTCCGAGGGTCCCTCGGCCATGACCTCCTCCATCTTGCCCACAGCGGGCGTTGTCTCTGGGGCCGTTGATGGCACGGCACTCGCCACTGCCTCGGGAGCCACCACATCGGCTTCTGGCTATGACCCAGCTGTCGGAGCCACTGTCACCTCTTCCTCCCTTGGCGGGACCTCGTCCGGCTGCGCCGTACCCGCCGTGGTCGACGCAATGGGTGCGGCCAACAGCTCCGCCCGTCCCGATGTCGGAGGCGACGTCACTTTCATCGCCAGTTGCGCAGCAACCTTCGAGGGCGTCCCCTCGGCCTCATCGACCGCTTGATCTGCTGAGGGCACAGGCACTACCGCGGATGGCGCTAGACCAGCCGATGAGGCTGTGACACCAGCTCTGCTCTCGCCCGAAATGGGAGCGATGTCTGGCGGTGGCCCCCGCCTTGCCTGAAGGGCGTCGGTCTTCTTGGGCACCAATGATATGGAAGTGCCCCATCTGACCCATCTCTCGACGTTGCAGGAGAAACAAAAGGCGTGAGTCACTATGAAAAACAGAGAAAAATGGAGGAATCGACAACTTACATTGGTGTTGTTGAGCGGTGGAGACATTTGGGGGGCAAACCTCTAGTTCCCTACTCCATCTCGTCGGGGCGGGAACATTTCGATCCCATCCCATGCTCCCAGGCCAAGGGGCTCGCTTCCCTCGCATCTGGGGGCACGATGGTGGAGCCACCCCCTCCCATCGGCACCGCGGGTGCGGCCTCTGATCCGCCCGCTCCCATTGGCACCATGGGAGCGGCGGCGGATCCATCCGCTCCCGCTGGCACCTCAGGCACGGTGGCAGATCCACCCACCCCTGATGATGCTAGGGATGGGCCGACAGTCTGGCCCACCTCCTCCTCCGGCCTCATGGCCTCACCTTCCCTTGCGTGGAATGGGAAGGGTCCCTACATTGATGAGTGGGCACCTGTCAGCATGTCCTTGCCTCCCAAGTCACCCCACTCGATGTCTCCGACTACCTCATCATCTTCCATATCATCGTCGTCATCGTCGTCATCACTGTCTATTTCTTCACCTCGCTCCCGTGCCTGCTGCTTCTGTAGTTCCTTCTTCCTCTTGTACTCCTTTGTCTTCCTCTCCCACTTGGCCATGGTACGATTCACCGCCGCCATGAGTGGGTCCTTCGGCAGCAGAGCCGGGCTATCCGTGAAGACGAGTCTCTTCGGCTGGTCCTGCTATCCCAAGGTCAGCATCAAGGGGTCGAGAATTCATGTAAAAAGGAGGCACGGGGAAAGAGAATTTATGAAGTCGATGAACCCTGGTTCTGGCAGCATTGGGGGGTGCCCCGGTACTGAATACATGAAATCAAGGACAACGTCGGCATCGTCCTTCAAAGGCTCTAGCGTCTCCTTGATGCACTACACCACATCGGAGGGGGAGTGCTTCGTCGACAAGCGCCGTCCCATCGAGTGACGCTCCAGGTGCCATCAGGTACAGGGGAAGCACGCGGCTCATCAGTGGCGCCACCCTCCATGTATGGTAGGCGTCGATGATCCCCGACCCCTTCACGCCTCGCTCCTTCAGAATTCAGATGCCGGCGAGATGGTCCTGGATTTTCTTCTTGTCTTTATCCGGTACACCCCACTTCCATGGCTTCGGGACCTCTTCGGTAATGCGCCCGGAGAACGCTGGCAAGGGGGCGGCTACATCGTCCTTGACGTAGAACCAATGCGAATGCCACCCCTTGTTGGAGGTCGACAGACGCATCGACGGGTATTCATTTACTCGATTGTTGCAGAGATGAATGCCGACACATCCCACCAGCACGCTAGCTCTTGCCTCTTCTCCCGCTTCTTCAAGAGGTTGACGACAAAGAAATACCGCCATAGGTTGAAGTGGGGACTAATCCCCAAAAACCTCTCACACAGGGCGACGAACGTCGCAATGTGCTAGACCCCATTGGGAGTAAGGTGCTGCAGCTCCACCTTGTAATAATGCAACAACCTCCTAAGGAACTTGTGGGCAGGGATGGCAAATCCCCACTCGTGAAAGCGAGCGAAGGACACCACGTAGCCTTCGAGCGGCAATGGCGCATCCTCATTGCCAGGCAGCCGCCACTCCTCGGCGGCGGTCAGCGGGCAAAGGAGGCCATAGTGAACGAGGCCCTCCAGGCGCTGAAGGGTGATGTCAGATCTGCACCATGGCTCCATTGAACGATTGGGAGGGGGGTGGACGTGAGCTTGACGGCGGCTGCGATGCAGGTGTAGGAGGCTCAGGCGATTGGTAGTGGAGGTTGTAGATGTAAAGGTGAGGAGGCAAAGTACGAAACCCTAGGGGCGAACCCCTTGGTTTTATAGGGGCGACGGATGCGAGAAGGGCAACCGTCCTCCTAGATCTCCGTGCCTGCCATGATACACCACCACGTCACGTCGCGGGATTTGCGCCCGCAATCCCTATCCTTTCCCACCAAAGTTGCGCCGGACGTTTCGCCTTCCCAGGCAGACGAGGACTCTTTTCCCACAGTAGGCATATGGGTCAAGAAGCATTTCTCCAGCCCACCTAGGCCCAGGAGTTGGAGGACTGGCCCAATAGTTTCGACAGCCGTCCCAACGAGGGATGGGCCCGCGAGCAGCCAAAACTTAGGCGCACGAGCCTCAAGGGAGTCTCGATCAGCGATCGAGTCTCAACCGGGCTAACCCTGGGCGAATCCCCACGAACGGGATACCAGGGTTCCCTTTAAGCTACCCAGTTGTTGAAACACCAAATTTCACAGCCATACCCACAAAGGGTCCGAATTACACCCCGGGTGATTCTATCCGAATCACCCGGGGGCTCGGGGGCTACACCCGTCGGGTGCGCTCGCGCGCACCCTTTGGCGAATCAAAATACCCCCCGGGCGATTCTATCCGAATCGCTCGGGGGCTCGGGGGCTACACCCGTCGGGTGCGCTCGCGCGCACCCTTTGGCGAATCAAAATACCCCCCGGGCGATTCTATTCGAATCGCCCGGGGGCTCGGGGGCTATACCCATCGGGTGCGCTCGCGCGCACCCTCTGGCAAGTCAAAACACCCCCTGGGTGATTCTATCCAAATCACCCGGGGGCTACTGTCGGGGACCAATTACTGGGGTACCCAAAGAGGTGGAACTAATAATCATCAAACGCTGATGCTTCCGAATAGGCAAGAAAGCAACTATACTTCTTGCCCATACAACCGAAGGTTGGCTGCGCCTCGCCCGGCCCTGAAGGGTTGGCTCCGCCTCGCCCGACCCCCGGGGGCTGGCTCCGCCTCGCCCGACGGCTGAGGGTTGGCTCCGCCTTGCCCGATGGCTGAGGGATGGCTCTGCCTCGCCTGACGGTTGAGGGCAGGCTCCACCTCGCCCGACGGCTGAGGGCAGGCTCCACCTCGCTCGATGTTCCGGGGCTGGCTCCGCTTCGCCCGACATCTACACCATGCCCCTTCATAATGATGAGCATAGGGTAAGACAGGACACTCAAGTCAACCACAGTACCGAGGACCATGCCCTACGCGCCTATGGAAGGTACCGTCAGGATACGACGGGACGCGCGCTTTAAGCCCTCCTAGGCATGACAAAGCTCGAATTGTGTTGTAGGCACCGACTTTTGTCCTACAGTGTTGTGGGCACCGCCATCAGCCCTCGGGCGCAAATCCTAACACAAGCATACGACAACCACTATAGTCTAGGAGGGAACTCACATCATCAACATCAACGAACGTATGGTCACTTCCCCGTCTGCTCCCCGTAAGGTCACGACTCGGTACCCTGGTGCGCCGCATCGACCGCCGGATTAGGATGGGACGCGACCACTGGCTGACCAAAGCCAGAGCATAGCCCTATCAGGATCAACAAACATGCTATCCCTGGCACCACCTGCCATGTCAGTAGGGCAGGCTCAAGGGGAAAAGGAAGACCCGTCACCTTAGAAGGACCTTCTCTTCCTCTGTTTTTTTCCTCTTTCTCCCATCTGTGATCCCTGCTCTCCCTTGGTCTATAAAAGGGAGGACAGGGCACCCCACTAAAGGGATGGTTCAATTTTCACGCACAACACATCACACGACACACAACCAAGCAGCAACCGAGCTCTTGGCATCCTTTCGACCCTTCCACCAGGGATTTAGGACCTGTCCCTCTCTCGACCGTTTGTACCCCCTACTACGAACCTTTTTCGGTGCTAATAACACGAGCAGCAGCAAACTGGACTTAGAGATATTTTTCCCAAACCAGTATAAAGCTTGTGTCCTTTAGTACACCATCCGGGCCTAACACGCAACAAATACAAATTTGGAGTACACTAGTCTCGGCAGACAAAACGTTGTGAAAAGGCTATATTCTGCTCTCCGTTGTGGCGTGCACATTGGGCGGTGTGGTTACAGTGTCCCAACAGTAGACTCACTTAAGGCCAGCCGTCCCGCCTCTGGCGACAAGGCCATAGACGATGTCCGTGAGGACGGGGACAGCGGCGTCCTCGGACATGGCGCGTGGTGGGGACTGCCTGGTGGCTCCGCCATTTTTTTAGAAAACTGTAGGGGCCTTAGCCCCTATAGAGATTTTATTACGAATAATAAGGTGCCAAAATTACAAAACAAAGCAAAGCAACGTGGGGCTGATGAATCGCATGGCTGACTAGAGCTTGTCTAGCCTGCCAAAGTCACCCATGCTGCCGCTGACGTGTAGCACCACGACCAAGTCCAGCACCGCCCTTCCTGCCGTGGAAGATGAGCTGCTCATGTCCAGCAGCACACGCACGGTGTTGGCTGCCAAGGGTGCCTCCTTCGGGTAGTACGGCTTCACCGACGCTTTCCCCACGTCGCTGAAGCCACGCACTTGCTTCCCTGCACAACATATAATGAGAGTTGCTATATATTTTAAGTGTTTGTTTTCTCAGGATTTTAGACAACGAATTTTGGACACAGGTGAAGTAGAAGAGGAAAAGAGGGAGAAGAGAAAAACAGGAAGAAGAGATGATGATAGAGGTTGATTATTGGGCTGCGTCCGACTGGCCACGTGGTCTGTCGGTCGTCCAATGTCCGATAGGAGGCCAACTGGGTGCACATCGGCGTGGCGTACACGCAGCGGCTATTTGGGGGACCTGTCGTCCATCCAGTGGGCGATAGGTGGCCAACTGGGTCCACACCGGCGTGGCGTACGCGCAGCGGCTGTGTAGGGGAACCTGTTGGCCATCCAGTAGCCGATAGGTGGCCAACTGGGTCCACACCGGCATGGCATACATGCAGCGGCTGTGCGGGGGAATCTATCGGCCATCCAGTAGCCGATAGATGGCCAATCGGGTCCACACCGGTGTGTGCCGTCGCATGGCGGCGTGGGGGACTGTCGTCCATCCAAAGGGCCGATAGGTGGCCAACTAGGTCCACACCGGCGTGGCCAACTGGGTCCACACCGGCGTGGCGTACGCGCAGCGGCTGTGTAGGGGAACCTGTTGGCCATCCAGTAGCCGATAGGTGGCCAACTGGGTCCACACCGGCATGGCGTACACGCAGCGGCTGTGCGGGGGAATCTATCGGCCATCCAGTAGCCGATAGATGGCCAACTGGGTCCACACCGGTGTGCCGTACGCGCAGCGGCTGTGGGGGGACCTGTCGTCCATCCAGTGGCCGATAGGTGGCCAACTAGGTCCACACCGGCGTGGCATACATGCAGCAGCTATGCGAGCGGACCTGTCGGCCATCCGGTGGCCGATAGGGGGCCAACTAGGTCCACACCGACATGGTGTACGCGCAGCGGCTATGCGGGGGGACCAGTCGGCCATCCAGTGGCCGATAGGTGGCCAACTGGGTCCACACCGGTGTGGCGTACACGCAGCGGCTGTGCGGGGGAACCTGGTGGCCATCAAGTAGCCGATAGGTGGCCAACTGGGTCCACACCGGCATGGCATACGCGCAGCGGCTGTGCGGGGGGGCCGGTCGGCCATCCAGTGGCCGATAGGTGGCCAACTGGGTCCACACCGGCATGGTGGAGGTTCTAGGGTTAGTAGCAGGATTAAGGGAAGAATTGTAAAGTAATCTGCTACTCCATCACCTGTACACATGGTAGGGGCAGGTGCCGAAAGGGCTCCCCTGCTGCTGCACTATAGCTACGGCAGGGGCAGGCGCCGAAAGGCTCCCCTACAGCATTGTAGCCATAGCTGGGGTAGGCGCCAAAGTCAGCCCTGCTGTCACATCTAGTCACTATAGTAGCCTGGCAGCCTGGCATGTCTGTATACTAGGATTAGATGGATAGAGTTGTATATATAGCTTACCACTGCAACTCAGTAAAGTTGAGCGAGTTTAGTTTTGCCATCTCCTCTGTAGAGCTCTGGCCAACGCTGGTGCTTGCGCTGTGTGTGTGCATGTGCTCTGTTCTCCCTCCCTTCTTATACCTCCAGCCATAGTGTGTGTGGTCGACAACGACGGTGAGCGGTCGGCTCACCCGTGCCTAAGATCTTGGGACCAACAAGTGGTATTAGAGTCGTACAAGCACCGTCGCCGGACTAACCGCTGGCGATGACGGATGGTTTGGAGATGGGCGACAACAGAATATGCTTGTGGCTGCCACCACGAATGAGGAGGTCGTCGTGCGGTGCGGCGGGAGGGAGGCGGCACCAGTTGTACAACGCTGACTCGCACCAACTATGACGAGTGGGCGGTGACCATGAAGGTCAAGCTCAGAGCCCGATGGCTCTGGAATGCCATTGATAAAGGCACCGATAACGAAGAAGATGACATGTCAGCATTGGAGTCTATCCTCGCTATTGTGCCAGCGGAGTACAGGGAGCCGTTGGGGGCTAAGAACTTTGCTAAGGAGGCGTGGGAGGCCATTGCAGCGATGCGCGTTGGCTCCGACCGCGCAATGAAGGCGATGGCCCAGCTGCTGAAGCAGGAGTATGCCACCCTCAAGTTCAAGGATGGCGAGTCAGTGGAGGACTTCTCCCTCCACCTGCAGTCACTCATTAGCAAGCTGAGGAGCCACGGCGTCATCATCGATGAAGAAGAGGTGGTCTCCAAGTACCTCCACTCCGTGCCGGTGAAGTACATCCAGATCGCTCTCTCCATAGAGACGATGCTGGACTTAACCACCCTCACTATTGTGGATGTGACAAGCCGTCTACTGGCGGTGGACGAGCGCATGGAGCAGGCCACAGCAACAATGGACAGCGGCAAGCTGCTGCTGACAGAGGAGGAGTGAGCTGCCCAAAAGAAGTCCGGGGAGGCCTCCTCCAGCCACGTGGAGATTGCATGCGTCGCGGTAAGGCTTCTTCGGAGAAGAAGAAGAAGAAGGTCGACCCCAACGCCTGCCGGTGCTGAGGGAAGACGGGCCATTGGGCAAAGGAGTGCCCAAATTGTAAGCAGGAGGAGGCTGAGGCTCATTTAGCGTAGGCTGATGAGGATGATGAGGCCACTCTCCTGATGGCGACGTTCTGTGAGGCCAAGATAAAGGGAGAGGTGATGGCGGTGAAAGGGCACGGCAAGGCTCTGAAGGCTGTCAACCTCAATGAACCGCGCGCCCAAGTCCACCTCGGACGTGTGGGTGACGAACAGGAGCAACGGTGGTACCTGGACTCCGGCGGCAACAACCACATGACGGGCTCCAAGGAAGCCTTCTCCGAGCTCGACGGTAACGGTGGAGGTTCTAGGGTTAGCAGCAAGATTAAGAGAAGAATTGTAAAGTAATCTACTGCTCACTCGCCTGTACGAGCGGCAGGGGCAAGCACCGAAAGGGTCCCCTGCTGCTGCACTATAGCTGCGGCAGGGGCAGGCGCTGAAAGGCTCTCCTGCCGCATTGTAGCCAAAGCAGGGGCAGGTGCCAAAGTCAGCCATGCTGTCACATCTAGTCACTATAGCAGCATGCAGCCTGACATGTCTGTGTACTAGAATTAGATAGGTAAAGTTGTATATATAGCTTCCCACTGCAACTCAGTAAAGTTGAGCGAGTTCAGTTTTGCCATCTGCTCTGCAGAGCTCCGACCAACGCTGGTGCTTGTGCTGTGTGTGTGCGCTCTGTTCTCCCTCCATTCTTCTACCTCCAGCCGTAGTGTGTGTGGTCGGCAACGACGGTGAGCGGTTAGCTCACCCGTGTCGGAGATCTCGGGACCAACAAAATCATAATGATACAATACCACATGAACTGGATTCTTGATAGTGGTCACACAACTGAATGGTTCAATTCGCTAATTTAACAAAAACATTACTAAATATTTTTCTTTGTGCACAGATCGATGCACATATTCACTCATGACTCTTGTGCATCTTGTGTTGGACCCCCAACACACTCATATCTCCGGTAGTTCATCCGAAACAGACATGAGGAATTCAACATACTCTTCCACAAAGTTTCTCTCATGAGTCTTGGAAAATGGTACACAGAGGGAGGACTGTGCTGCTGCTGTCTGCTCCCCATTTCGAACGGCAGCATCAGGATCCAGTAGTAGTTGGCCTGTGAAAACTGGAAGCTGAGGCAGCGGCCTTGGGTGATCTGCCGAGCTGTTGTGCGAGGTTGTGCTGCCATGATCAACTCGAACCTTTGAGGTAGCTGCTTGTTGATACAAATCCGCCTGCAGGTTGCCACCAGTGTTCATATCAGCGGCTCCCTCCCCAGCTGTTTGGTGCACTTCTGGTGGTGATTGGTAGTTGCCGCCGGTGTTCATCCTCTGCTGGAGCTTCTTCTTGATGCGTGAGTTCCAGTAGTTCTTGATCTCATTATCTGTCCTTCCAGGCATTCTTGCCGCAATCGCAGACCACCTATATTCACATGTAAAAAAGTACACAAGTTATATCCATTGCACATCATGCAGTTCCTATATAGGAGTATTGTTCATGCATGCATGTGAGGGACGGAAGATGCATGGAATGGATCAAAATATCCGAATGAACGAAAACAAACTTGCGCTACCTGTTTCCTAGGAGTTTCTGCAATGATACGATGAGGTCCTCTTCCTGCTTGGAGATGGGCTCCCTGATGAGATCTGGCTGCAGATAGTTCATCCATCTCAGTCTGCAGCTTTTCCCGCTCCTCTTCAGCCCTGCAGTGATAGATCCATAAATAGTTGAATGCTTTGTTAGTTTCCCATCCAATAACACGATGCAATCCTGCTGCTAAAACAAACACACATATATACAACAAGTACATATATAAGTATTTATTATATATATGCATGTGCCTGCCTGCTAGTTCGGCGACGGAGGACCAGGTTCCGACGCCGTAGTGTGTGATGTGGCTGTAAAGCCTCTCGTCCTCGTCAGGAGACCAGAGCCCCTTCCTCATCATCTTCTTGTCTTCCTTCGTCTCCAGCTGATCACTAACCATGGCTCTCTTTCTTCTCTCCATCTGTCCTTGCTACCTGCATATGCTTCTGCATTGTTCAAGCTACAATGTATATATGTTTAGCTTAACTGGAGAGCTAAGATCCGATCCATCTGAATTTTAAACGACAAATCACGGGCCTGCACTAGCTTGTGGTGGCACGTGCTTAAAAATATATAGTTGCGTGTGGTCCCTTAACATAACAGTCTGAGTTTACCAATACTAACACATAAGAGCATCTATTTCTACCTCAAAAAAAAAGCATCTATTTCTATACTAGGCTATGAACTTGCTAGCTGAGGAATTGAATCATCTGAATGCAAGAAACGACGAGAGGAATCGAGTACTCAGAGGAATCCTTTGCTTATACCTAACATCTCAAGTTTGAACTTTTTTTGTTCAGTAGTTCAGCACTAGCATATGGCTAGTAGTTTAAGAAAGTATGTGTAATGGTTGGTCTTGGCTCTGGACGTTTATTTGTGTTTCAAATTGAATCTGAGCTGATGCTGCTTTTGTTGACCTTCTTGTAGTACTTGCATTGCCATGTTTTAGTTCTCCTGGTTGCAGTTAGGCGTAGGTGTCTTCTTGCTGCTCTGGTCACGCAGTGGACATACATACAGTGCAAACTTGCTAACTTTGGCCTGTGAATTGTCGTTGCCATCATGTACAGTACTATGCAAGCACTTACTATATATTTAGTAAGACAGCAGTTTACCTATCTCCACGCATGCATGCACCATGATTATTATTATTCTCGGTATGTACATCCCATGCAAGTGCCAAAGGTACGGTCACCCATGTGAGATTAATTCCTCCTGTCTTCTTGGCCGGCCGGCTGGGCCTCGTATATTATGCACATCAGCATGCACATGGATGTGTGTGTATATATGTGTAGATATATATATATATATATATGTAGCAGGA